AATAAGAATACAGCCATGAACATGATGGAAATTTTCTTGGGATCGATACATTTCAACCCAGAAGTTACGGGAACTTGAAAAAGTGAAGATCATTGATGGGTTCTAAAAAACGAATTATTTCCGGATCACCAGCGAAGGGCTCTTTCTCCTTTTCTAATTCAAAATTTTCAATGATTCCAGTCATTCAACTCTGAGACGGCGCAGACCATTTTAAAAGGAAGGAATCCTGCGGTAATTCTCAAAAGTCGTACTTGATTTTTTTCGAACATAACAAGGATTAAACAAATGTCATTCTTTAAAAGTTGAGACCGAAAATTACTTCGCAAAGATGAGAATTTATCCGTGTTTTTATTTGGACCATGATTTCATTCCATTATACCGCTTTGATAAGTTATTTCTTGAATTGATTCGCTATAAAAGTTTCAGAGGTTCTCCATAAATGAATCTGTCAGACGGGCATAATCCTTCTAGAAAAAGGTTCAACCTTTCCAGGCACGAATTTAGTCATTCGTGACGTTTTCTTGGGTTAATAAACTGAAGATGCAGGGAGAAATCAATTAAGACAAGTGGGCGGTCAATAGGAAATAATGATTGGTCAAGGGGTTATCCCACAAACAATGTAAAACGACAACAGGGGTGAGTGAGAAAATATGTCCTGCAAGCACGGATGGACTCAGGGTCAAGACAAAATCCCGAAACGAGCATTCGAAATGACGGACACTGTTTTGGTTAAATCGAACACAGGCCAGAAATTGAGACTGGGCGAGAAATTTGCAGCGTTCCGTTCATTTTGTTAGTCAGTCGAGAAAATGACATCACAGAGTATTTTTCATATACAGTACAGTTTTAAAGATGCTTCAAAAATTTTGTAGCGTTCCATCTAACTTGTTCATTCATCAGTCCACGAAATATTGTGATATCCAGGGGTATTTTCGAACATATTTTCAAGGATGCTTCCAAAAATCATCGAAGGCAGTCAAACATCAAAACATTTTCAGCGGTTTTTTCCCTTACGCTTTTCAATGAAAACTCATCAGATTTTGAGACTCCTCAGTAACGCAAGAAAACAGGAAAACAGGATTCAAAGCAAAAAATATCACTGATGAGAACTTACACGTACGCCAATCAGTAATTATGTCTATACTCCACAATGTAACTTCTTCCTTGGCTTTAATTTTATGTTTAAAATTTCTACATAATGGTCTCACGTGTATAGAGAGAAAAAAACGGGGTAAACTCCATAAATGGGCAATCGCAAAAACAGGACTAATCCTCTCCAATGTCAGTTGGCAAGTTACATTGAAAATTTTCTAGAAGATTTTCGCTCCAAACTTTACAACATGCTGTATAATCAAAATTCAACAAAATGTTCTCCATTAAAATTTTATCTTAAGAACTTTTTCAAAGAATCGCGCAACTTTCTCGCCACATCAATCAAAATCGGCACCAACGCAAACACAAGGAACGGTAATTAGAAAAAAACCACCAGATGAGGGATTTTGGTTTTTCCAGGCGGATCAGCTGCATGCGACCCAAGCAAAATTTTCCGCAAAATTCTCACTTTTTTTCCCCTTTCGCTAGGACGACGACCAAACCGCAGCTCAGTAATTTACTGCGTACGACAAAGATACTCGATTAAAACCTGGATTAATTTTTCACAACAAGGATTCAAAGAAGAAAGAAAACTACAGTATTCACAACAATTCTCGAACACGAAGCCATAACCATCAACCATGAGGGAATTTGAAACTGTGATCACAAGTCTACGGAGAAATGAACGTTGAGATTCGATTTCACGGGGGCAAACTCTGATTTTGAGGAAAATCCGTAAAGTAAAAATGAACATCTCTTTCTTAATAATATCATTGCATTTTAAAACATATGTCTTAAACAAGGCAGATTCTGATCTAAGAAAATCGGCAACTTGAGAACGACTCGTGTTTCTCTCTATCATCATCATTAATACGTTTTAAAAACAGAGAAGTGGGTGTTCTAAACGTATCCTGATTTTCAAGAAAATCGAGAACTTGAACACGACTTCCTTTCTCTTTATTATTTATGTTGATACATTTCAAAAACAGATAGGAGGATGTCAAAAAAGTCGGCAGATTCTGATTTCCACGAAAATCGGCAACTTTAAAATCGAATCGTTCTCCTGTTTATCATTATTTTTATTT